AAAACACACCTGCTGGATGCCTGAGAAGTTTTTCAAATAGTTCAATGTTTCTACCATTACCCTAACCTCCCCCTAGGATCCTGACCACTCAGGATTCCAGTGCTGTGCAACTGAAGTCTTCTAGAAACAAAAAGCTTGTGTTTGTCTATTCAGAATATTCACCTCACTATCCACAACCCTTCAAGCAAACAGAAAAAAAAGTACAGATTTATTACTATTTTACTTTTGTCAAAATAACTCCACAAAGAACTCTGAACTCCATATATCAAAAGGGTAAAACAACTCTCTTCTTCATTATCACTCATCTGAGCCTAAAAAAGACTTCCAAAAATATTCAAGGCTTACTTTAAAAAGGCTATGCAACAATTACATTTTAAGTTTCAAGACTTATTTGTTAAAGAGTTTTAAAATCTGGAATACACAGATACTCAATTTAATGCTATAGAATAAAGATATTTTGCCTCCTATCTTGGGAGGCAAATTTGACTTCACTGTTTGCACAGGGTGATGCATGACTTTTATCAAAGCACTTGGGAAGCAGTAGACAACCAACAGATCTGTCACTAGCAGGTACAGTATGGTATACATACAAAGTTCCAGGCAAGGGCTACATAGCGGCACCCTGTCTTCAAGGAAGCAATTAAACAAGCAGAAAACCTCACAAACAACAAAACATATCAAAAAGGAAAAACAAAACACGTAAGAAACAGTAAGTCAAAGGATAAAAATTATATTTTTAGACTTATTGTACCACCACATGCTTCTTGAAGTATATCCACAATTAAAACGAGAATCATAGCTAAAACAGGGAAAAACGATGAGCTTAATTCTTAACATGAACACAAATTTTGTACAAATTGAATTTCAATTACTAACTGCTAGTCATTTAGGTAATTTGTGTATGAGACTAGCATTTAACTTTATGCCTTCCTCCAGAACATACTCAATTGAAACTGTGTTATCTAATTCTCAAAAACTTCGAAGTGAATTAAGTTGTGATACATTAAAGTTTATGAAAGTATAACCCATTATTCAGCTATAGAGATCCCAAAGAAACAGTTCTCAAGATGTGGTGACTTGCTCAGGGTTACTTAGCTAGTGAGTAGTAAAAGCTGAGAGATCAAATTTCCAGCCTGAACATCATGTTCAAGCTTTTTTTCCCAGTATATAATTCAGTAATACACATTTTAGTTGATCCAATTCTACGTTTTTGATATTTTAAACAAATTTGTACATTTTTTTCTGTTTTTGATTGGGAGAAAGAAATACAGGCCAATACCCAATTCCACAGAATTTTGTAGGCAAAAAAGCAGCAATATGGAAAATGGATGAAAAAGTAACTAGGAGCCGGACGGTGGTGGCGCACGCCTTTAATCCCAGCACTTGGGAGGCAGAGGCAGGTGGATCTCTGTGAGTTCGAGGCCAGCCTGGTCTACAAGAGCTAGTTCCAGGAGAGGCACCAAAAACTACAGAGAAACCCTGTCTCAAAAATCAAAAAAAAAAAAAGAAAAAGAAAAAGAAAAAGAAAAAGTAACTAGGGAGGGAAAGATCTAAAAAGAACAAATAATTAATAGAGAGATTAAATTTCTTATCTCCTTTTTAAATGTATTTCATTTGGAAGAGATTAATTAAGGTCAGAGTTCAGTACACTGACCCTCAAAACTGCATGTCTCAAAGGATTAAATAGAAAAGTGAGTTCAAAAACAATGATGTCACTGACCATCTGCAAACCATGCACACGAGTTTAATTGAGTGCTAGTCAACGTTCCCTTCCTCAGCAAGGTCCTTGAAGACAAGGCCAGGTCTAATTTAATTTTCTAATGCTTAAAGGAGTAAGAATACTAGTCCCAGTTATTTTTCAAACAAGGACTACAAAGCTGAAAATGTGTTGTGATTTCTCTGATGTGTAAGCCACTGCGTAAGTAAAATGTGCAATAAAAATAAAAATTCATTTTTAAGAATGATAAAATTGTATAATCTTAAACACATGACCAAGGGATAAGTCTGAAGGCAAAAGAATGTAAAGATCATTCTAACTATGTATAGTACTAGATGAGAAGGAAGATTAAGATTGCCTCTTCTCCTCCACAACAAATACTGTGATCAAAAATCAAGCAAGCAAGCAAGCAATATTCACCCCAGATCAACTGCTTCCACAATTATTTTGTGGGATTCAAAATGTCCATCAGTATTTCTACCACATAGGAAAAAGTAAGACACAAATCTACATATAATTTAACTTGATTCAGATTACTCTCAAGTACCACGTTAGAAAAAATTTAAAATACTTGTTTATGCAAGATAAAAGAAAAGCATGTAACTTTACAAAACGGACACAAAAACACCACTACAAAGTACTGTCTCTGTTAGGCCAATAGGCCACCACTTCTCAAAACAGCAGATTGAATTCGGTATTTTACTGTGTGAGACACTGTGTGAAATGGTCCCACAATGTATCTAATACACACAAACTCAAGTCATAAAAGTTATCCCCTCTCCCCCAGTATAACTGTGCACAGATGAAGAAACCAAGATACACATAGATTAAAGAATTTGCCTACAAAACTTATGCTCAATTAGAATTAATGATTTACTTCTTTTCAAGTTTGCGAGTTAAATATATATAAGCGTTTAAGATTTTTGTAAGCACGTACATACAGCAGGTACAACTCTTAATTCAGTTTAAAAATTTGTAATCAGAAATTTAGTTTTGAAATAAGACTGTTTTTAAGCTTTATAAATGTTCCCAGTGTAAGGTAAGTCAAGCCCTACTTGATTTGTACTGTTACTGGAAGGTTGCTGGTTATCTGAAACCGAAAAAAATCCCCGCCCTTTGATTTTCTCTGCCCCCTTTCCCATTTGTAAATAATAAAATTGCTAACAATGAATAGCTAATTTAATTAAAACGTGTAACTTATAAAACGTGTATTTATTTTTAACTTAAGCATTACTCTAATGAGCAATTTAAAATATTTACGTTCCTGGCCATCTGCTAAGGGCCTCAAAGTAGTAATTTAGATCAATCAAATTTTAAGAATGAAGTACCTACGTCAAAATAGAGGCATAAAGAAAAAGTACTACACATTTAGTTTGGCTATGTAAAATTGGCACAGCACGTTTTCCTCCTGAGGGCAAAAATGAACGTGACGATTTCGGGGGACGAGGAAGGGGACATTTTAAGTGGTTCGCAAGCTAGTTAATAGGGTCGGGCAAAAACACTCTCGAGGGCTAGGATGGTGCTGTTGGATTTCCTCACAGAGCTGTGGGAAGGCTGGAAGCCATAGGCTGACAAAGGGGGCGTAAAAGCCAGAGGGTTGAGGAGGCCGGAGGCAGAGGGCATGCAACCTGCACAGAGTGACTTCGGGCGTGGGCTGCCGGCCACAGGCTGCGGAGCCGCGGGAGTACCGCGGCTAGCGGCGTGACATCTGGCGTGCCGAGCCGGCAGGGGGCAGAGCAAGCGGTGTGTCACGTGGAGCGGGTGCTACGGGAGCCGGGAGGGTAGTGAGAATCTGAGGGGGGTCTTCCCCAAAGCCTCAAAGACAGTTACTCACTGGAGTCGCGGACTCTTCTTGCCCTGAGCAGGAGACGGGGGCTTCGCGGCCGCGAGCTGCTGCCCCGGGGCGTCGGGAGGCCTGTGGCTGGGGCTGCTCCTCCGCCGG